CCCTGGTACTGCAAAAAAAAAAAAAAAATTAATAATAATAATAATATTCAACTCAGTCAATTTTGTCTGACAAGAAAATCTGAATAAACTTACTATACCATGTTACTTTTAAGACTGAACTTGATCTGTTCAGTCTGGGTCCTCCCTGCCTTCCACTATGGCTGGGACAAGGCACACATACAGAAGCCTGTCCTCCTCCTAAGGGAGAAAATGCAGACTGCACCTTGACCACGCTGAGCCACATGTCCTTGTGCGCAGAGAAGCCGTGGAGCATGAGGAGGGACGGCTTGTTCCCCGGCCTGCCCCGGAAGGAGTAGCAGAACTGGTAGTCTTCGTGGTACACATAGCGAACCTGCATGCCCAGCGCCCTCCGCCAGTACCTGGGGAAACAGGCAAAACAGAAGCAGCACGCTCTTGGAAAGTGGCTTTGAGGGACACGCTTTTCCCCAGACGCCGCAGTTCTTGGCCTCTGGGAGTTTCCTGGGTCTTCACTTTCAGGGAGCACTAGCGAGGCCAAAGAGATGTTTCCTTTCTTTCTTTTTTGGTGGTGCTGAGGCTGGAACCCAGGGCCTTGGCCCCGAGCTACATCCTCAGTCTTTTTTTTTTTTTTAAATAGTCTTGCTAACTTGCTAAATGGCCTGTGTTGATCTTGAACTCACGACCTTCCTGCCTCTGCTTCCCAAAGAGCTGGGATTATAGGCATGCACCATCCTGCCTGGCTCCGAGTGTTTTCTTAAGAAAGCGTAGCGGCCGGCATGTGCCGCGTGGCAACTCTGGGCTAGTCCATACCTCTAGGTACTCCGAGGGTTCGCTTATTTCTCGGGAACTGTGTGTACTGTCCTCTAGCTTCTCTTCTTTGCAACACATGGCGGCTGGTTAAGAGCACAGAGCCTGCTGGTTATGTAAGACTTGGCAGCGCTGCAGTTTGGCCCCACCTCGTTTTCAATATGAAATTTCTATCAAAACAAACTGAACTCTGTGCATGAAGACTCTCTCCAAAATGAAAGATAACTCAGTTGGGAGACTCACTTCGGGGTATCAGCAGATCTTGTAAGCAGATAACCTAGGCCAACTGGTTTCAACCATTTGTGTAAGTTAAGGGAAGAAGGAAATAAGGATGTAGATGCATGTCTAGTGTCTCCACACACCAAACAATGTGGGCGAGCACAAGCCACTGAGGAGCATCTGGGTGGAGGTGGAGAGCAATGTCGGGGGTAGAGCGAGAACGCACGGGAGGGGCAGTCTACGCTCCTTTTGATACTTTTGCAATGACTTCATTGTCATTTCCATTTTCACTAAAAATGTAATTGAATTGGCCGGTTTAAAAGCTCATTTGATAATGAGGAAACAACCATTTCAAAATTCTACATCGTACCATCGTATTCTCCCCCCAGTACTGGGGCTCGACCTCAGGACCTTGCACTTGGCCAGGCAGTGCTTATGCCTCTGAGCTATATTCCCGGCCCAGCTTTCACTCAGATCTCAGCTTATTCATTCACTGACTACATAACTCTGAACCGCAATTCTCTCATGAATGATGCAGAGAAACATCACACTCCAGTAAGATCACGGCAGAGGTGAGAAAGATAATCCACACAGCTGGGGGACATAGCTGCAATGAATACGACAGCCATCCTTGATATCTTTTTTCCATTTTTTTTTTTTTTGTTTGTTTGTTTTCATGGTACCAGGAATTGAACTTAAGACCTTGTGCTGGCAAGTGCTTATTCTACTGAGCTCTCTCCCTGGACCCCTTGATATCTTACTTTTTTTTTTTTTTTTTTTTTTTTTTGTCATACCGGGTATCAAACTTAGGACCTTGGGCTTTACAGACAGGCTCTTACGCTGCTGAGCTATCTCCCTGGCCCTTCATCTGTCTTTCTCCTCCCTTTCCTTCTTCTTTGTGGTGCTAGCAATTAAAACCCAGAGCCTTATGCATGGTTGGCCAGCCCTGTATCACTAAGTAAACCCCAGCCAAAGGTCAATATCCTTAACATAGAAAAAAGTTCACCAGCTGGCATCAGCCAGGCTAAATGTACCAGGATGCTGGGAGGGCCAGGACTTGAAAATAGTGTCTTGGTTTCACTGTTTCTTTCTTTCTTTTTTTATTTTATTATTATTTTTTTAAAGCTAAAGCTGTATGAAGCTTGTAGATTAAACAATAAATTTGTGAATTAAAAAAATAAAAGTACTGGGAACCATGCAATTTAATCACAGGAAAAATAAATAGGGAAGTTATTACTGCTGAATATAGGAAAAATAAATTAATAATTAAAGATATAACTATCACACCAAGACATACTCATGGACTTCCAAATTACAAAAAAATTTTTAAACCACTTACAACATTTAATTTTTTTTTTTTTTTTTTTTTTTTTTTTTCCGGTACCAGGGATTGAACTCAGGACCCTGCGCTTGCCAGGCAAAACATTTAACTTTTATATGAAGCAACCTGGTAGTAACAATCAAGAATCTTTAAAGGCTTCCTGGGTTGGGAGCACTTGTTGCACGTGGGAGGCCTTGTGGGAGGCCTTCGGTTGAGCTCTGGCACTGCAGGAAGTTAAACAAAACCAAAAGAATTCAAGCTCTTTGGCCTAGTAATGTTTTTTTCTTTTCTTTTTTTCTTTTTACACAAAATTTCACTATGTAGTCCCTTTTGTCCTTGAACTTGGGGCGATACTTTGCCTGTCTTCTGAGTATTGGGGTTACAGGCATGCACTATCACGGATGGCTAGTTGTTCTTTTTTCTTTTTCCTTTTTTTTTTTTTTTTTTTGCAAAACTAGGGATTGAACTCAGGCCCTTGCACTTGCCAGGGAAGTTCTTATTGTACTGAGCCATTTCCCTGGCCCCTCTTTTTGCTTTTTATGTATTTAGTACAGAATCTACAGGGTTTTACTACACAGATTGGACTTGTAGTGATCCTCCTGTGTTCAGCCTTCCAAGTGCTGGGATTATAGGCATGCGCCACCACGCTCAATCTCAATCACTGTCTCAGGGTGCCCCAAGGGCAGGGCCAGCATGACACAGGTAATTATTCTTCTATGAATAATTTATCCCAATAAAATAAGCAGAAACCCTGAGGAAAAACATTTTAAGATATACAGAAGTGTTATTTAAATTAGAAAAAAAAATACTGTATTAACTTCGGTATCCATTGGTAGAAAACATGTAACATAAATAACAATATAGCTTAGTGTGATACTTTGCTGTAAAAGAAGTTTTCAAGGGCTGGCCTGATAGCTCAGCGGACTAAAGTGCCTGCTTAGGCAGAGCGCAGCAGCCAGGGTTCGAGCCCAGGCTTGCTTGTCGGCCCAGCCTGCAGGGCACGTGCCTGTAATCCCAGAGCTTGGGAGGCTGAAAACAGGAAGATCACTGCAAGTTGGATCTATGTAGTGAGACCCTGTACTAATCTTTTTTTAAAAAGAGGTTTTCAAAAGAATATTCAGTAACATGAAAAAATATTAACAACATGACATCAAGTGACAAAACATGACTGAAGTTTTTACCACTGCTTCCAATTGTACTAAGACATTTTATGTGTACACAGAAAAGACGGTTGAAAACCAACAGAAAGAGGCACTGAAGGAGCGATTCAAGGGGTTCTGAGTAATTTGGGTTTTTCTCTGTGTTACCTTTTTGCCATTTTCAAGTTCTCTGCAGTCCTCACAAAGCATAGCATAACAGCATGGGCAGCAGGAAGGACTGGTGGAAAAGGCAGAGCTGGCCGTCCCAGGATACCTGAAGGTGACAGCTGGAGCTCACAGTGGAAGCGGCAGAGGCGGGCGTGGGGACACGGGCGAGCTGAAGCCAGCGGGAGGCAAGGCAGGGCTGGAAGGTCAGCCAGGAGGCTGGGCTGAGGCACTGGGGGCTCCACCGCCCACAGGACCCTCGCCAGTTCTCACTTAACTGGTTTCCACTGGCAACTTTCACCTGTGGTCCCAGGACCAGAGAGGTGGCGGGTGTCCTTAATCAATCGCCTCCCCCAGTGAATGGCTCGGGAAAAGGCTCGAAGCTTCAGGCCCCGCTGAAACACTGCCGAAGAAGAGCCATGGCCCAGGCCGAGAGAGCAGGAAGCAGATTCTCTGGTTAACACTAAGAAAGCGAAGAGCCTCCCTGACTCACAGGGTCGAGATGAGACCTGCTGGCAACCTTCCAGACAGCAGCGTAAGAAGCAGGCGAGAGGAGCGAATGTCTTAGGAGCAAGATCTTTCACAAACCGTACAAGTCACACGCTCCCGCTCAGGACTGAAGTCACTCAGAGCTCTACTGACCTAAATTGAGAAATCCAAAAAAGGAACTGCCCCGGTGCCCAGAGCCCTCCTACAAGTTTCTCCTCCAGTTAAGCAGAACTCTGAAGAAAGTACTTACAGGCTTCGCCCTACTGTATAATTCAGTGTCGCTTGCTGGCAGACTCCATTCTTTGTGGCTGTCGGGCTGAGGCCCCTGTGTCTGTGCTGGCTGCCAGCTGAGGACAGTCTGCTCCTAAGACCCTCCTGTGTCCTGCCCAGGTGGCCCTCTCCAAGTCCTCATGTGCCTCGCACCTCTCCGAGTTAAGGGTTGTGCTGATTACGCGGGGTTCATGCAGATGATGTCCCTATTTCAAAGTCTACTATACACAGCGGAACACAGTGGCTGTGAGCAACACTGCTCCACCAGGGAACCATGTGTCAGTCACTGTCGCAGCGAAGGGGGCTGGGGTGGGGGGCATCTCTGAGGTGCCAGTTTGGTAATTCCACCTGCCAAAAGTGTCAAAAGCAAGCTTTTTCCAGATGGCTATCTTGTTAGCGCAGAGCCCTTCCACTTTAAGGAACGCTACCTTTGTCAGAAATCAAATGTATTGGGGGCCGGGGAGATGGCTCAGTGGAATAAGCTCTTCCCTGGCAAGCGCAGGGGCCTGAGTTCAATCCCCTGTTCCGCCACAAAAAAAAAAAAAAAAAAAAAAAAGAAATCAAATGTATTGCTAGATTTGATCTACTTCTGGATTATTATTAGACTCTCTAGTTCTGTGGTCTGTCTTCCTTGGTGCCAATTTCACACTGATGTGATTTTTGTAATATTATAATTAGTCTTAATAGCTGGTAATATAAATCATCTTTGTTCTTTTTAGAAATTGACTTGCGTGCAAACAAACAAATAAACAACAACAGCAAGAAGCACTGGCAAGAGCAGGGTCCTGAGTTCAATCCCTCGTACCGCAAAAAAAAAAAAAAAAGAAAGAAAGAAAAAGAAAGAAATTGCTTTGTTGGACGGAGGAGATGACTCAGTAGAATCAGCACTTCCCTGGCAAGCACAAGGGCCTGAGTTCAATCCCTGGTTCCGCCAAAAAAACCCCAAAAAACAAACAAACGAAAAAAACACCTTGGGGACAGGCTTGGTATTTTCATTACAGTGAAAATCAGAGCTGCTGCCCACAGCCGAGGAAGCTGCTCAGCCAAGCGATCAAGGCACCCTCGCTATGCCACCCTGCTGACTCGCAGCAAGCAGTTGGCACCTCCCACGAGAGCAAGCATAGCCCGTGTCACTCTGGAAATGGGCTAGCCGCACTCCAGGGATACTGGGCCGCAGGAGCTGCTCTGGAGCCTGGCCCCTAAGGAACTGGGAAGACCTGGAAGGGGCCTGGAGCCCACAATGGGCTGGGTGCACCCAGCCCTTAGGAATTTTAATAGGGCATCAGAGGTGGGTGGGCAGGGCCACTCTCCTGCCTGCAATTCCTGTTTGCCTGGCAGTCCCAAAATTAACCAATGCACCAGGCTGTGCAAGCTGGTCCCACTGGTGGTCAGAAAGCCTTTGGGGCAGCTGATGCTAAGGGAGACCAGTGACTCGGGGCAGAGCTGCTCACCATGTGACATGACCGTGTGCGTGTCCTTGCAGCCAGGCGACTCGGAGGAAACAGGCTGTGCTCCTCAGTGGGGTGCAGGGGGCGACACAGGACTCCTGACAGCTTCTGTAGTGGCACGCTGGGTGCTGTTACTATGGGCACAATAATCCCCCAAGGCCCTGTGCCACCTGGTGTGATCTGAAAGTTCTTCTAGGACTCACAGCCGCCCCAACCAGCTGGGACTTCCTCTCGGCCTGCGCATCTGAGTGCACAGAAGCTCTGTGTGTATCTTCTGGCTGCCGTTCCGAGCTGCGTGATCCGCCCGGGAAGGCTTTCGGATCACAGCACCGGCCAGGTATGATGGGGTGTGGAGACACGGGCGACAGGACTGCTCGTGTCCAGCCAGCCTAGGCAACACAGCAAGATTCCATCTCAAAAAGTACACCAGCATTTCCCATAAGAGCTAAAAGGTGGAATGTACTCAGCAGTAGCGGAACAGATACACAAAATGAGGTCTGCTTTCTCCTGCTGTAACAAAATACCAGCGACTGGGTAATTTATAAAAAGAGGCTGATATGAGTTCAAGTATCAAGAGCCTGCGAAGTCCAAGCTCATGCTGCCAGCTTCTGCCCAGCCTCTGGTGAGGGATTTGGGCGCTTCCACTTATGGCAGAAAGTGGAAGGGCAACAGGCACATGCGAAAGACACAAAACAGGAGGAAGAGCCTAGCTCTAGGGCAACCCCCGCCCCCAGAAGCACGGCCCAGTCCCCCTGGAACTGTACTAATCTCTTGAGACCCGAATCTCGTCTCAAGGCCCCGTGGCCTCTCCACACCGTCATCTGGCAGTCCAGGAGTCACCACACTCAGGTCATGGTACACACAATGGAGTATTACTCAGCTATAATAATGACTGAAGCGCCGACTCACAGCTCAACAGAGACACACCTGAAGGCCTTGTGCCAAGTGCAGGAAGTCAGGCGGGAAGCTTTCAGTGTATGACTCCACTTACAGGAAATGCCCACAGCAGGCAAATCCAGAGACAAAAAGTAGAGTAGTGGCTGTCAAGGGACAGAGGGCGGGAGAAACTGGGGGTGACTGCTACCAGGTACGGCGGTCCCTCGGCGAGATGGAAACCCGCGTTATACAGGGAGGATGCTCAAGCACTGAATATTATATAAAGACCGATGAATTGCACACTTCAACATGGGAACTTCATGTGAATTCGAAGTCAATAAAAGAGGTATTTGCTATGAAGTAGTTTTTCCTTTTCAACGATCAAGTATCACTCAGCATGCACAAGCTACAAATAGCACCTCAAACAAAATTCAGCAAGCCCTAAATATCTCAGTGACGGTGAACCCTGACTAAAGCCTTCTTCCCAAGAGCCTGGGGATGTAGGAGTAGGAGACCACCGCAGCACTGAAGCTGGTTTCCACAGCAGGTGAGCGGAAGAGGCCTTTCTATCACATGCCTGTGACAGCCGTATCCATGGTTACAGGCCGGATCTCTGCTCCCATTTGGTTTAATAGAAAATGGCATTTGAGTGTGGAGGCCCACGGTGCTGAGGCAGTGCCACAAGGCAGGAACATAGCTGTGGCCTCCCCAGGCCAGGGGCCACCCAGGAGCCCTGGTCCCAGGCACAGAACTCCTTTGACCAGTGCTGCAGGGGTGGTGGTACTTACGCAGCTGGAGGCTTGGCTTTGTCAGGGGAGGTGGGTCCTGGGTTATCCTCGGAAGGATCACCATCCCATCCTCACAAAAAGGGACAGAAAGGGTGACAGATGAAAGCTGCTTCAAGGGCCAGGGAGATAGCTCAGTAGAATAAATGCTTTCCTGGCAAGCGCAGGGCCCTGAGTTCAATCCCCAGTACCACAAAAAAAAAAAAGGAAAGAAAAAGAAAGCAGCTCTGTTCATTCAGCTGCTTCTCAAGGGCCAGAGCCCAGCTGACTGTTGACAAATTTAATGCTCTAGCGAGCCTAAAAGGAGGGCGGGAACAGGGCATCACGGCTGCTCAGAGCCCCGCAGAGGAATGTTTCAGTACTCTCCTCGCCCTAGGGTGGCAGTGTTGACTGTCCGTGGTAAGTGAACGGTGCTGTGGAAAGCCAGCCAGCGACACACAGCAGGAGAAAGCACCTCCTGTTCGGGGGCTCACGGAAGGAGGCGGGCTTTGTGCAGGGCAGCGGGGCTTCCTGCCACTCCACCCTGGGCAACAGGCCGCACATGGACTCGGCCTGGGGGGCAGCAGGACCTAGGCTAGAATGTAGAAAGACGGGCTAACGTCACTGCGCTGAAGTTCCGTTTTGGCATTAACTTACTGTTTATGGCAAGAACGGCAACAGTTCCACCTCTGGTAGTGGTATTTCGTATCACTTTTTACATAAATAGATTTAAGGTTTCAAGAGAAGTGATGTACTTCAAAGAAAATACAAAGTCCAAGTAGTCTGCAGATGGGACACAAGGAAGATGGTACAAGAAGGACTGGTATTCGCGAAACCTTTTTTTCTGTCATGTTACTAATTAACAGTTCTAGAACATCTCTAAAAGCATATCCCATGCATGGCCCACACCAAGCCCACTGGTGTTTCTAATTCATTTTTCAGTGACCACGGAAACACCAGAGGAGTTCCCACAAATACCCATAATCCTTGCACAGGCTGTCAGTAATTTAGGGTACAAGTAATTTAGGCAGCTACAAGGCAAAGACCTTATCAAAGATCTGGTGAAAAGCAACAACCAATTCTTTTGAGAACATTTCCAAAATTTGAAAGATAGTGTTTGTCTAACTTATTTAATTAATTAATTTTAAAATTTTTTTTTAAATTTTAGAGGCAGGGCCTTGCTATATAGTTCAGGTTGGCCTTGAACTCACTATGTAGCCCAGCCCAGCCTCAAACTCAAGGCGATCTTGTGTCAGCCTCCCAAGGACTGGGATTACAGGCGTGCGTCACTCCACCCAGTTCCACTTTTCATGTCTGAAATTATTTCATAATAAAATTTCATAATACCCCAACAGCAGTAGGACAAGCACTGTTGACAATGTTAATGCACTCTTGAAAAAGATCAGTTACATAATTAACTTACCAGTAGTAGATTTTTATCAATGCTGAAGGCCACAGGAGAAAGGAAGCCACGAATGCCAGGATTGGGATGGCCAGTGTCCCACCGGCAATTACGAACATGTTCACCACATCCAGGTCCATCTGTGCGTTAGAATGGGCCGGCTCCTGCAGGGGCTGGAGAGAGAGATGGTGTCAATGTCGCCTCTTCAGAAAGGCGAAGAACCAGAAGGGAAAGAGGATGAAGGGGAGAGATCAGGAGGGTGCAAAAGCGGAGCACTTCAGGAGCGAAACAGCCCAACAGTTCAGCATAACAGGAGTGTCGCGGATTTAAGAAGACACTGTCACCAGTGCTACAGGCCCAAGCATGGTGCTGATGCTGGCTTGGACATGGAAGGGAGAGGACGCCTCTGTTCTCTGGAAACGGCACTGAAGGGTGCATACGCGTACTGCGCCGAGACACAGGCATACACTCACCACTCGCCTTTAAAGGTTTGGGGAGGAAAAAGGCACACGTGTGCTGGGGAGGAAGAAATCAGGAAACTAGGGTGGAACAGCGAGCCCGAGGGGCTCCTGGTATTGTTCCTTTTCCTTCCTGCAGATTTGTAATTTTTAAAAATAAAGAAGACAGAGAACCTTAAAGAAATAAAAGAAGGCCTGTTGTCAGGGAAACACAGGAGACTTGCTTTTTTATTTTTTAAATGTTTTGATTTCTCAAGCAAGTGAATAATTTATTCAAAATTAAGTAACACTGAACAATAAGTTGGGAAGCAACAGGCCTGTGTCCCCCTCCAGAACCAGGCTTCTTGAGTGTGGGGACATCAGATGCACACGTGACTGTGTCACATGGTCCAAGACACACATGCGTGACACATGGATTAACGAAAAGCAGAGCTTTGGGTTTGGATTCGTAGCTCAGTGTATTTTTTCCTACAATGTACAAGCCCCTCAGTTCCATTCCTAGCTTGTCAAAAAAATAACTTATGAGGGGTCTGGTGAGATAGCTCAGCAGACTAAGCACCTACTTAGGCAAGTGCAGAGACGGTGGTTCAATCCCTGGTACCAAATGCTGCACCAACCCCACCTCCAGGGTGGGCTGAGCTGGCCACAGAGCTGGGATGTGGTGGCACATGTCTGTAATCCCAGAGCTGGGGAGGCTGAAAGCAGGAGGGCCATGAGTTCAAGCTGTGTAGTAAGACCCTGCAACCACCAAATATACTTAAAAAAAGATTAAGTTATGAAATGGGCTCAATCCTGTTGAACTGTCATTCCCGATGACGGTACAGAGACCTGACATTACTCCTCCTTTGGTGCTCACAAAGCTCCCTGCCGGAGTCACCTGTGACATGCCGGGCACCATGACACTGCGGGGGCAGCTAATGAGCCACCCAGTGGCTCGTTCAGAACCTGTACAGATCTGAACGTCACAGAGCTCACATGAGCCGACGATTGGGAACTGTCCCCCTCCAAGAAAACTCTTCCACACATCAGGAAAGTCCTTGACAAGGGCTAAGGTGGACTCAGAACGCTGCGCCGCAGGAAGTCGATTACACAATGTTCCTTTGGACTAAGAATAAGAACCCTGTATGTCCAAAGCCACCTGTATCACAGGCTCTGCCTCTGAAGATGGCTGCTCTGAAATGAAGGTCTGATCGTGGAAAAGCAAATGCCCCACTTTGGGGGTGCCTGCTGTGGCTGTCACTCAGCTTGGAGGAAAGTTCCATCTGGTCCCCCTGACAATTAATAGCAGAAAAAGTCTTCACCGGACAGGATCAACTTAGCAAGTTGGACTTACTATAGAGAGCCCATACACATTCCCTGACCAGGTCAGATAAAGTTAAGCTGTCTCTGAAAAAATTGAAATGCCTTCTAATGGCAATGTTTTCTATACAGATAAAGTGTGGACAATTATTCCAACATCTGAAACATCCTTCACTTAAAAAAGGATCTGACCCAGCTTCCCTTTAAAAATGCAGCTCGCCCGCCCTGCTGGTGTTTATTAATAGAATATTCTACAGGTCCACAAAGAGCCTAGAGATAGAAGAACTGAAGCCCAATGAACCAGAAACCACCAGCAACCAAAAAGCAGAGGGGTGATAATGCGGACTTCGGAGGAGAGGGCTCCAGGAAACCGCCAGCCTGCCAGCTGAGAAGCAAGTAAACACCATGCAGTACACACCACGTAATGCTGCAGGGACTCTGCATTAGCAAACCCCGATGTACACGCTACACCTTCAGTCCTGTTGAGGTTGAAGGCATGCTGGCACAGGCCTGCAATCCTTCACTCCAGGAGGCCCCGGCAGGAGGAAGGCAAGACTGTACCAAACCTGGGCAAATTAAAGACTGCAAGGTGCTGTCTGTGGAGGACCACCAGGGCAACTCTCCTTGAGAGAGGAGCTACTGTCTCCTTTTTGGCTGAGCCTGAGCCTATTTCCACGTACTGATATGTACAGAGTTGGCTTGGACTTTTCCTTATTCCTTCAGCTGGCTTAACAATGCGTATCAGTCCAGCCAAGGTGCTGGTGGTAGTCTCTGAAGACGGCTGGTGTGTTTTCTTTGAAAACCCAAAGCATGGGGCTGGCGAGATAGCTCAGTGGACTAAAGTACCTGGTTAGGCAAGCGCAAGGACCGTGGTTCAATTCCCAGTACCACATGCAGCACCAGGCCTGTCCCCAGTAAGTATCAACGACTGGGCATAGTGGCACACCCCTGTAATCCCAGTGCTGGGGAAGCTGAAAGCAGGAGGGCCACCAGGAGTCCCAGCTTCATAGTGAGACCCTGTAACAATGAAATACATAAAGAAAAGAAAATGCAAGGCATGTTCCCTTATGCGAGACAAGACGAAGAGCCGATGCGCCCCACTGTCCCTGGGATGGAGCCTCAAGACACAGGCTTGACTTCCTGGGGCCTGCAAGATGACACATCAGAGCTGGAACACTGACCCCAAAACATCCGACGCTATCTCAGTTGTGTCACGCAGACTACCAGCTGCACGTCCTTTTCTCTGCATACTGCACAGTGACATCCGGCTCCTACCTCGCCCAGCGCACGGCACACACCAACTTCCCGCCATTCTCAGCCATTCATCCTCAGCCGCTCCTTTCCTCCTTCCTGGGTTCGGCCCTGGGTGCAGGCCCTTGCTCCACAAGGCCGTCACCATGGCTGGATTTAGGGCCCCTGGGGTGCCCCTAACTACAAATATGCCTAGTGTCTTTATTCTCACCATGGATTGCACTGGGTGTGGTGGATTGGAATTAACTTGAGGGGACTCCAATAACTTTTCCACGAGATTACAAATATAAACTTCTTGGACCAAGAAGAAGACCAGGAAGGGTTCTTTATACTGTCATAAAATTAAAAATGAAAAAGGGCTGGGGCGTAAGTCCAACGTAGAGGCCCTAGATTCAGTCTCCAGCACCACACACACACACACACACACACACACACACACACACAAGCAACCCTCAGGATGAGGGCCTCTGTTCTCTGACCCTGGGGCCTCTTGGAAGTATCAACTAATAAGGCATATTGTTCCTTTTCATTTATTTGATGGGTACTTTCAAATTATGTTAAGGATATGAATTAATTTTTAGAACAGCTTTAAGTAAAAAAGGAGTTTTAAAAAATGCTAAGCCGTGATGCACCACCTGGAAGGTGTGGCAACTCACGTGGCTTGCTGCCACGGAGAGGCGGAGGCCCAGCCTGGGGGGCTCGGGGCCAGGGCCGCAGGCAGCCCTCTGTCTCTTACGTGACTCTTGCACATGGGCTGAGAGACTGTGGTCTCCACACCACTCACACAAGAATATCCGACCACATCTGTTCTCCACTACTCTGCATCTTCCCTGTAACCATGCCAGACAATGGAGTAGGCCCCGGCTTGCCCTCCCAAGAATCTTGCCCACTATTACGTTTTCTCAGAAGCTAACGCAGCACCGAGCAAATATCTGGTACTTGTAACAGTCACTGCCCAGCTTAGTAACTGCAAACCCAGCACACATTTTATGTACCTGCCACGCCACCTGAGGCACCCGGCTCCTGCAGCACAGTGCAGAGCGTGGCAACACTGGGAAGGAGCTGGCTGTGACAGCACCAGCCACAGCAACACACTGCACACCCAGACGGAGCCCCCACCAGCCTGCTCTGCGCCCGGTGACAACCAAGCCAAGCACACAGGGGCCTTTGTCTCTGAGCACAGGGACAAGGACTCAGTGGATAAAGAGGTACCCAGGTGACCCAGATAAGCACTGCCGGTTCGCCTGGGGTTAGGAGTCAAGCAGGTCGCTTCACAATTCTGTCCCAATGTTCTTACTGACTTTGAATGCTGAGGATCCTGAGTTTTAATCGTGAGGTTTTAGGCTATAAAGCAAAAATATAAGAATAAACAGAATGTAGGAGACTATCAGAAACAACCGTCTCACTCTCGACATCTATTTATAGCCCACCAATGGGCTGGGGAGGTAGCTCAGTAGAATAAGTGCTTGCCTAGCAAGCGCAGGGTCCTGAGTTCAATTCCTGGTACCGAAAAAAAAAATTATAGCCCACCAAATCGGACAGACTCGACCCCCCCCCAGAATAACAGAGAGCATAGTAGCAGTCACGTGAGCTATGCCAGCCACAGCCTTCACCACCCCCACAGACAAACACCTCAGAGTAACTGCTTGCAGGCCCTGAGACTTCTCTGGACCTGGCCCTGCACAGGGCTTTAGAGGCCTCCTTCTGTTTGACCTCACACAGCTCTGTGAGTGGAAAACATCCCTCCCACCTTACAAAGTGAACACCGAGAGGCTTTAGAAACCTTAACTGTCCCCAAGATGATGGCCCGAGTTGCCACACAGACCTGTCGGTGGCTCTGAGTCCACGTTCCCCTGCCTTGGCGGTGCCTCCTCTGGCAATGCTTACTGTACCTCATTTATGCACAAGGCCCAGGGCCCAGTGTGTTCATGGACAGGTTCTTCGCTTCTTTATGATCATTTCAACAGCCAATAACACGTGGGAACAACTTTATAGCCATCAGTTGGCATACTGCTTATTCCTGTCGGTGTGTTGTTACAACTATACACTGCTATGGTTTATTTATTTATTTAATGTATTTGGTCCAGGGTCTCACTACACAGCTCGGACTCATAGTGATCCTGTTTTCAGCCTCTCCTGCACTGGAATTATAGACATGTGCTATCATGCCTGGTCTTGCATAATTTATTTAAATTGTGCAAATAAAAATTCTCCCCATTGGGCTAGGGAGACAGTTCAGTGGTCTAAGCATCTGCCTGGCAAGTCTAAGGACCCGGGTTCATTCCTCAGTACTGCATACTATGCCAGCCATGGAGCCCTGCCAGCCACCAAGACCAGGTGTGGTGGTGCACACCTGTAATCCCAGTGCCAGGAAGGCTGAGACAGGAGGATCACTATGGGTCCAAGCTGCGCAATAAGACCCCCTACCAAATAAATAAATAAAAGATTAAAAAAAAAATTATCCCCCTCAAAAGACCAACACTAGACATTCCATTTGACCCAGCTACCTCTCTCCTTAAAGTTAGACTCATATTACAGTGATACACATGGACCTACATTCATAGCAGCACAATTCATTATCGCTAAACCTATCTTGGAAGCAGCCTGTATGTGCATCAACAAATGAATGAATAAAGAAAATGCGACATTTACACGTGATGGAGTACCATTGTGCCATAAGGAAGGACGGACTTGAGTCTTTTGTAGGAAAATGGAGTTATCTTGAGACCATAATGTTACATGAAGTAAATCAGACACACAAGCTTAGTATCACAGAGGAGAAATCCAAATTATAGAGCAAAATAATAGATATTGGGAAGTAGGGCGATAGATCGCAAACGGAAACAGAATCCAGTGGATGAGGGAGGTGGGTAGAAGGGAAAGGAGAGAGTATAAAAACAAGGAATTAAAATGCGTTACGACCTGGATTCAATCTTCAGTATCTTAACTTTCTTTCTTCTTTGTAATGTATTTTGTACAGGGTCTCACTCTGCAGCTTGGACTCATAGTGAGCCTCCTGTCTCAGCCTCCCCAGTGCTGGGATTGCAGGCATGTGCCACCACGCCTAGACTCGGTCATGGACTCAGCGCGCCCGGGGGTGGGGTCAGCACAGTGTGTGGCGCCAGGATCAGACCCCGGCCCCTGCGCTTGCCTAAGCAGGTGCTTAGTCTGCTGAGCCATCTCGCCAGCCCTATCTTCAGTACCTTAAAAACCTGAAATAGATGAAGAGTGCTACAACATGGTTTTGGTCCCTTTGTAAAAAATCAGACAGCTGAAAGTAAAGAGAAAAAAGGCAGATACATATACCAACCCCACATGTACTAACAGAATGTTTTAAAACCCCACAATGTTTCATCAGAACGATCCTGTGTTCTTGAGATCTGAGCAACGCCCAGCTGTCAAATGGTGCTGCGGTTATCACATGCTGGTTTCTCAAGTCACTTCCTGGAAAGAACAACTCATTCCTCAAAGCTTTGCTAAAGAGCAACAGCTAAAAATCATGCACCAATGAAAACAGTCTCAGGTGCAAGAGCCCCAGAGCCAACGGGACAGGATGACTAGAGAAACAGGCAGTCTCATTCTGCGTCCTGTGGTCTTTGCCATCACAGGGGAAAAGTACACTGAAATTTCCAAACAGGCAGTTAAGCTGGCCCAATCTTGGCAGCAGCGTCAGTGTCCTCCAGCACTCACCTCTGCCTTCCTGCAGCCCTAAGGTCTCAAGGCTCCTCGGGCTGAGCCTGCTGGGCGGCAGTTTGCAGCCCAGCAGCCCTGCTGGTGACGCAGGCCGTGGCTGGCATGCCCAGCCAGAGCGTGACAATGCCCTCTCAGCTCTCTCCCCTGGGCGTTCCCTCGGTGCACTCCACCTACCCACCCCTACCTGCTCACAGTGCTTTCCTCACTGTGGCTCAGTGGAATAAGTGCTTCCCTGGCAAGTGGAAGGGCCTGAGTTCAATCCCTGGTTCTGCCACAAAAACAAGCAAACAAACAAACAAAAACCCACTTAATACACCTGATGGGACTGTCCCCAGCTTTTCCAGATGCTGGGATTTCCCCCCATGGCACACGTCCTTTGCTGCCTGAGACACACCCCTCCCTACTTCTCCTGACTCACTGACTTTTGCCAACAGGACTCCCACCAGCTTATGTCCCACATGCCACTGCATTTTCCAGTTACGCAGTGGTGGAGAGGGACCAGCCCCAAGGTCAACTTGTCCCAGTCTACACAAACTGTCATTTAACCTTAGATTAATGAAAATTAAACAAAATCTAAAATTCAACTGCTAGTTTCTTGGCCACTTTTCAAACACCTGACTCCCCACGGTAGACAGGAACTCCTGCAGTGGACAACCTGGCACTGGGGACTGATATATCCAGGCACCTGGCAAGCAATGCCTTAGGCTAGCTAGGGCCAACACTTACTACAAGTGTTGTCTGGGAAGAAGAGTCCCATGAGGAGCAAGACTTTCCGTCGTCAACACGGAAGAACCCTTCTGCAGCACACGGGGCCAGGCCCTCATTTGGCCTCCTTTCAGTTTCTGTACATTTCCACCAGGAGCTTTAGAGCAACCATTTCAGTTCACTCCAGGGATTGCCCTGCACTGCTCTAATACCCCGCAGATAAAACGTGAACCATCCTACAGGGTCCCACTTGTCTTCCCAGCACGGACTTCCCTGACCGCCTGCACCCCAACTAACCAGCTCCCTGCCCCATACCAGACCTGCAAGGCTTCCTGCTCGTCCTCGCCCCTGCGGCTCCCTTCCAGTGGTTTCCTAAGGAACTCCTCTCTGCCTCCAGGGTAGCCACAGCGAGGCACTCCTGAGGAGAACACTGTCGTGGGCCCCAGATTCCCTTGTCTTCCAGACTCCCTCCGCATCACAGCCCTGCCCAGCACAGTTTAAGAACTATTTAGAGGAGCTTTGGGGGTATAATGTAGTTGAAAACCCTTCATCCCCAGCACAGCATGACCAGGGACCCACCCACCCAGTAGAGGGAGCTCCCCCAGGCGCCTGGCCCAGGCTCAGGAAGGGCTGGCTTTGTTGGATGACCTATGGTGTTCAAAGTCCACACTTAACCTCTTTCCCAACTGCTCCTGGCTCTGACAGGAACTGAAAATGAGACTCTGGAATACCAGAAATGAAATGACAAAGCATTAATTCTTCTGCAGGAACACAAATGAAGTGCTAACAGCCAGCCAAACTGCTGGCTGCGGACGGAACAGTACCCTCCTCAGCACAAAGGCAGCGCTGCACGGCGGCTTTATGGTCACCCGCCGCCTCAGGCCACCTCCCTAGTCAGGCAAAGTGCACAGGAGGAAGGCCACCTCAGGCAGTGAGTCAGGGTTAGGACAGGGTACAAGAGTTCAAGGAAGAAATTGGGTGAGAGGGCAAGTACAGAACAGCCATGTCGTGTCAGCCAGGCTGCCTGAACACACAGTGTGACAAGGCAGGGGATGGGATGCTTGGGAACTTTTGTGCTAATAGTGTTTGGACAGGATATCCTGTCTGCATCTGGTACTACAAATAACCACTATAGAAGACAATAACATACAATGTATTAATTATTGAAACTGTCCTAATTGGTTTTGAAACTCTCATGCCATTTGTCTCTCAATAAAATTAAAAAAAACTTTTGTATTATTATTACCAAAAAAGTAACAAGTTGATTGCACAAAATTGTTTTTTAAACATTCACTTAGAAAGAGACATCAGGCCAGGGAGATGGCTCAGTAGAATAAGCGCTTCCCTGGCAAGTGCCAGGGCCTGAGTTCAATCCCCAGTTCCACAAAAAAAAAAAAAAAAAGAGACATCATGGGGCCAGGGAGATGGCTCAGTAGAATAAATGCTTGCCTGGCAAGCACAAGGGCCTGAGTTCAATCCCCGGTTCCACAAAAAAAAAAAAAAAAGAGACATCAGAAACAAGATTAAAATTTGTTAATACAATGAGCTGGTGAGATAGCTCAGCAGACTAAAGCACCTGCTTAGGCAAGCTTAAGGAAGTGCAGGGACTGCTGTTCGATCCTGGCACCACGTGCTGTGCCAGCCCCGCCTCCAGGGCGGGCTGAGCTGACCACAAGGTTCCGGCATGGTGGTGCACCCCTGTAATCCCAGCGCGGGGAGGCTGAAAACAGGTGGATCACGCTGGGTAGTAAGATCCTGCAATAACAAATGACATTAAAAAAAAAAAAAAAAAGAAGCTCTTACATTAACAGACAGGGGAGACTACGTTACACATGTATGAGATTTTTTTGGATGGATACACAAGCAACTGGCATAATGGCAAGCTCTGGGAATGGAAACAGGCAGAGGCGAGTGTGAGCTTGTATTGGTACTTCTTTGTGCCTTTCAAATCGCTACCATATACATACATGAATTAAATAAAACACAGAGACCAGAGATGTAGTCAGGGCTAGCGAGCTTGCCTAGCATGTGGGAGCCTTCCTTTTAATTCTCAGTACTGAAGAAAAAAGAAAGATGATGCCACCCTCTCAAACAAAATGGTCTCTCTTACACTGTCCAACAGAGTAGCCACCACATCATGTGATGATTTAAATTTAAGGAAACAATTAAAGAAAATCGAAAATTCATTCTTCAGCTACCCTCATCAGGCAATTGCTCAACAGTCACACCCGGCTTGTGGCTGTCACAGAACATTCTTGTCATAGCACCAAGTTCTGCAGGCTGATTGCAGACTCTACACTAGCTTAAAAGGTGGTGAAGGACAGCAACCCAACTGTGCTTTCTGAGCAGTGACAGGAATGTGAATGCTATCAGGACAAAAATCCCTCCATGGCCACCACAGCCGGATGGCCCGGCTAGCAAGATGACATAGGACAGGCGGGGGACTCCTGCCCTGTGTGATTCGCCTAAACTCCACCTGCCAGGAACTTTAGTCTTTAAGGCTCAAAGTTCAGAAGTCTAAGATAGAAGATAAGAGGTTTTTACCCTGGAGTCACACAGCCATCCATCAGCCATAAATTCCTGTCCTCTTTGTGATTCTCGGAGAACATGGACCAGAGACCAGGAGGCCTGCTTTACGCGGCGGATCAGCCGGTTCCCCTCAAGGGTTCTCTCTCCCCCAAAAGCCAGCTGGCCCACACCCTCAGCCCCCTGGGGGAAAGCGCACCTCAAGGCTGAGGAGCTGCCAGAACCAGGAGGTCCCTCGGCCTGACTCCTGAGAGGGGGCAGGCAGAGGAGGGAAGGGCAAGCAGGTCGGCCAGCGGTGTGGCTGGTGGCAGGAGCTTGTGTGGCTCGGCTCTTATAGAAGCAAACTGGCCAAGAAGAAAGGCAAGGAAAAACGTGTCAGAAGTCTTGACCCGGTGGAGCATCTTGAAAACATCACTTCTAGGCCAAGGTGTGGGCTGGGATAGTCTAAAATAACCACTTGCTGAAAAGCATGCTGAAGACAACACCACACTGCTGCATGCAAGCCAGTCTCCCACTGGTTCAAACGGGAGCAAAAAGCCACCTGGCCCTTGACCTGCATGGACTCTACAGTTTTCAGGCTCCGGGGGGCCACAGTAAGTTCTCATCTTCCTCAAAGCAAAGTACTAGAAAGAGCCTTACACAAAGATTATTTTTTAGATGACTAAAAGGAATTAAAATAGCCCTGTATATGAGATGCGCTATAACAGGCCTAAAATAGAACCTGGGCATCCAAAGATATTTTCCTGTTACCTAACCTTGTACTTATAAACAAGAAGAATAGTTAGGAGATTAAAGAAGTTTCTGCATCTTGAAAGAAAGTGAGGACATTTTAGGAAGACATTCCTGACCTCTTGCATAAAGCCCAGCATTCTCTCCCCTTTCTCTCCTCCCCAGTAAGGCAGCAGCAAAATGAGCACAAGAAAAGTGTTATGTGGTAAAGCCAGACTTGAAATATCATAGTTCAGAGTGAGATGCTTTGGCACTTTAGCCAAGTAAATAAAACAAAAATCAAAATTATCTTTGAAGTAGTAACAAAGAGCCGGCCAAACAGCTCAGCAGATTAAAGTGCCTGCCAGCATGCACAGGGCCAGGGTTCGATCCCCAGGCCTGCCATTCAGGCCCCACCCCCGGGGCACACTGAGACTGCAATTGTGACACGCACCTGTAATCCCAGCTCTTGGGAGGCTGTAAACAGGTGGATCACTAAGAGTCCGATCTAGTGGTGAGACCCTGAGCACCCTGCAGACCCTTCCCTAAATACAAGGAAAGAATAGTAACAAACACTAAGGAGAGTATGGGAAGTCCTGCCCCCTAGCTCTCGGTCATCATGGCGCTATTCTGAAGAGGCCATTTCTTGCAAAAGGTATCTTAGAGCTCCATTTCTCAAGGACCTTTCAATCTTCTGAGTGCTTGAGCCTCTGCCCCAAAGGGACGCTCACTCTTTCTCAACTGTTAACAAGTCCTACGCTGCCACTGCCTAGGACAAACACAACACACATGCTGCCAGTGCCTGGATGGCTACCAGGAAGGGACAGCAGAGCGAGAATGGTGCACATGACCCAACAGCACGTGCAGCAAGACCACCAATTAACGCAGTCCTGGCATGAGAGCTTGTAGTGCCCACCTACACTGTGGGGATCCAGGTATGAGACTCCCTAACACGACCCTCTTGTGACTATCCCTGCGCCAACAGTGTTAGTCTTTCTTTCCCCGTCCTGTACCAACCCTCTTTCTCCCTTAACACTTCTGCTGCAGTCCAGGCATGGTGGCTCATGAGTGTAACCCCACCACCGAGGAGGCAGAGGTAGGAGGGTCACAAGTTGGAGACCAGCCTGGGCAACTTAGCAAGACCCTGACTCAAAATGAAAAGGGCTGGGGATATCATCCGACAGTAGAGCACTTGCCTAACGTACAGGAGGCATCCCTGGTTCCGGAACAAAATGAAACAAATGACCCTCTTCTTGGCAGAATTAAAAGCTAGCGCCCGTGTGTAGCCCGGCCTCGGACCCGAACAATCTCCACTTCACCCTCCCTGCCCAGGCATTCTGAATGACTGCTTGCTTCTCATGGCACCTGTAATTTGTGGTTCATAGTGAGAAAACCGGCTGCGCCCTGCACAAGGCTGCCCACGCCTGCAGGACGAGTCAGGCCACATCTCTGCATCTGTTGTAACACTTAACACCCACCATGCCTTATCCTTAGTGGGCGCTTGGTCAACACCAAACAAGGTTTCCATCAACATGCAACTGCCTTCTCAAATGGAGAAGAGACCAGTCCCTTCGGCCACTGCACAGGCTTGAGTGCAAAAGTCAGGAGTCAGCAGAGCTGCCTTGTTAACAGCCCACAGGCCCTTTCTTCGTTTGTCCTTGGCCACCAATGCCAGAGGCATTCCTCTTGTCTAGATGGACAGCTGGAACCAAGCAAAGTTGAGCAATCTGCCCAATGTCATCCAGCTTTCTACTCCTCTGCCCCCATCCACCAGGTGCTCACAGCGGCTCTCAACATGGGGCTCAGGGCCACTTGTGACTTGGCACCTCCTCCCCTTTTATTTTTTGAACCAGGGATTGAACTCAGGCTCTTAAGCTTGTCAGGCAAGCACTTATTCCACTGAGCCATCTCCCCGGCCCCATCCTCCCCATTTTTCAGGCAACACTTTCTACTCTCATTCACGATCTCCCTCCACCTACATCTTTCTTAAACAGATTTGCAGCCCCCTGACACATCATGCTGTTCAACACCTCTGTGGCTTTGTCACCCCTACCTACCCCATCCGGATTCTCCCTCCTGCTTGGGATCCAGCTCAGCAAAAGTCTGGCCTGTTGCTGCTGCATTACCCACGTGTAAATGCTCCTGTGGGCCATTTTGCACTCTGATAATCTGGCTCACAATCTCTGTCCGCCACTGACCAGACACCAGATCTTGAAAAATCACTGCACCTCTGAGGACCTCTGTTTGAGGCCAAGCTGGAACAACAAGGAAACTGCTTCCCAGTGGTGACTGTCACATGCTGAGCACCTCCTCTGCACAGACCAAAGCTCCTGCCCACCCTGCCTGGCAAAGTCAGGCAGCCCGACCACACCTCTGTCCATGGCCCTGCTCTGTGGGGACCATCCAGCTGCTGACCCACACTGGGGGCCAGGTCTGTGTGGGTGTCTTTCCACCCTAAGTGCAGCCTATGGCTTGGTCCCCAAAGCCA